CCCGCTGGACGGGGGTGGCGGAGCGCGGCCGGGCCGTGAGGGGAGCTGCGGGTCCTACTGCAGCCCACGCCCTCCCGTGCCCGGTCACTCTGCATGCTTTTTTATTATAGGTGACCATGTGTGATCTGACGGTTGTGATAAAGGATACGGAACTGTGTGAAGCGATGTTCTGCCGGGTGCCAGTCGGTCTCTGGAGGAATGCGGTGTTGTGTGTGGCACTGCAGCTCCGGTAACGAGGTCCGGTCTTCGCTACTAATATCTTCATATTGAACACTATTTGAATGATATGGTTGTTTTTATTTGGGGGAAGTCTTCCTTGCATTTATTTTCTTTTCAGAGCCTTCGTTAATTTGCTAATAAAAATGTTGTGTTTTGCTTTTAGAAGTTTTGTGTCTCTATACTCTCATTCTAGTACTGCATGTGCTATTTCTTATTTCTTTTCAAATGTGGAGGAGCAACTTTGTTAGAAAGTTGAGGGTTTTTTCCCCCACAAATCCAGAAGATCTAAATACTGTGGTAACTATTCTTACAGCAGTTACCACAGTAATTCCAAGAACAACAGACCTAAATAGGGAACAATCAGGTGTTAAAATCAGGCCTTTATGAGGTTTTTCTAAAAATAACATTTACAGACGATATGTTTGAAATGTGTAAAACACAAATTCCTAGATTTGTCGATCATACTGGTGTTACAGAGCATGTGGCCTGTGTGTACAAAACTGGTAGTGAAGCTTTTACTTGAGGGGCTGTAGTTTCGGATCATGGTATGAATTATGGGATTAAAGATGCCCTTACATGCTCCACCCATACTTTTTTTTTATGAAGCTGGAAATTGCTCTCCCATGGAACTTGAAGCTATCATCCCTGAAATAATAGAAAAGGCATCAGGAGATGCATTCAAGAATGTATTTTAAAGGTTAAAAGAAATGCCGTTAGGATCCGAGTTGCCTTGTGAGGTTTTTTTCCCCTTTTGCTTTGAGGGGAAAGTTTGAAAATACCACTTCAAATAGGCCCGATAAGATATTTAAAAAAAAAAAAACAACCAAAAACTTTTACGATTATTTGCTACAAATCGCTGCCAGTGATTTTATACCAAATGATTTTCCATGGTGTCGGGCGCCGCTGAGGTGGGGAGCGAGGGGCGGGCTCCGGGCTCGGCGCTGGGCCCGGCCCGCAGCTCCCAGCGGGCCCCGCGCGGCTCAGGACTACAAATCCCATCATGCCCGCGGGCCC